GGTTGGGGGGGGGGGGAATCAGTAATGCGATAATCACAGCTAATTGTTTATTGAGTGCTTACCATGAGCCAGACACTCTGCTAAGCATTTTCCATGAATGAACTCCTTAATATTTTAAGCCTCACTCTAGTCTCATAAGACTAGTCTCATAAGGTAACATATTACCCCTGAGGGAATTGAGCTGACAAGTTGTCCTAATCCAGATGGGGCAGAGTCAGGAATTAAATCCAGATGATGTGTCCCTGGAGTTCATTTTTTAACCTACTCTTCCTACGGAAAAAAAAAATATATTTGTCTTCCAAACCTATTCAGTGGGGGGAGGAGGGGTCAAAACCTAGAATATATAACATAAGTGCCTGAATACATCTGAACAAGAATAATCTAAGTAAATGAGTGATACTTCCAACACTGACTAGTGACTCTGAGGAGGGCACCAGAAGCAAACGTAAGCCCGCTCTTATTTGCTGGAAGGATGGACGTCACCCGATGGTCCTAGACGGGAAAACCAGAAGCCCTGTGTCAGCCTTATCTCCCGCATGAATTTACCCCCTGGACTTCCCTTCTCCTTCATGTCTCACCAATATCTTCCCTCATCATTTGCTCACCTTTTGGTTGAAGACAAAGCCAAAGTAGCACTCAGCATTCAATGAGTTTTTACCAAGTCAGGCCTTGTGCTAGGCCTTGAGAATGTACAGATGAATGAAATCCAATGAGCTCACAAAGTACTTTCTTTTTATTTTAATTTTTATTTATTTATTTTGAGAGAGAGAAAGAGTTCATGCATGAGTGGGGGAGGGGCAGAGAGAGACAGAGAGGAAGAGAGAGAGAATCAAAGAAGGGACATGTTAAGTGGAGGAAAGTGCATAAGTGCAAGAGAGTATCTAGCTAGTATTTCTAGAAGATGAGAAGAAAACTTTTAAGGAGAGTCTCCTGTATAAAGTTCTTCCTTCCTTGAACTCCATGTTGGTGTACTCAGCCCCCACCCCATGTGGGGCATGAGAGAGATCCCAGGGACCATTTATGGACAAAGAAGAAGTCACCTCTCTGACCTTCCACGCATATACTGATAAAATGAAAAACGTGAACTAGATGAAATATCATTAAACATTTTTGGAGACATGATCTGATGGAAACTCTAGGAATAAAACACATACCCTTTGCATAAAATTTCAAGGAATTCCTGAATGTCTTCTGTCTCAAATCACAAAGAAAATTCTATTTTCTCTTGAGTCTTAACATTCTTGGGCATTGAGGAAGTGTTGCAAAGCAGAATAAGGAACAGAGAGGTACATTGACTCTGGATTCTGACTCTTAGCAGCAGTGTGACTCGGGTTACTAACCAGGGTCACCTTCCTCATCTGCATATTGGAGTAAGACTTGAACAATGAAAATCATAGCGCAGTATCTTGATCATCAACAGGAGTGTTTGAGAGCAAAATAAGTAATAAATGTAAAATTTTTAGTACAGTGTCTATTCAGAGAAGACACTCAATAATTTAGTCTGAATATATTATATTATATTATATATTATATTATATTATATTATATTA